GGAGATCAAGGTTGTTTTGAAAACCTAAAGTTCATAAAAGCTGCTTTAGCTGACTTGCTGGGCTCAAACAGACAGGGAGCTTTGGTGAAAAGATGTGGAAGCAATGGTTTAAAATCAGCTGCCGGGGTTCTTTTTTTCTTTTCTTTTTTTTAAATAATTATATCTATTGGTTTTTAACGTTTTAACAAACAAACAAATACAATACAAGACAAGAACAAAAGAACAATCCAGCTCTTAAAGTTACATACCTATATACGAGCATATGCGTACACATACACACACATACATACCGACCAAAGAGAAAAGAAGGGAGAAAAAAAAAGCACAGCAATGGAAAACAAATGGTCCGAACCAGAACATTTCAGATGTTTACAATTCGGACATCCTCAAATTATAAATCCTCTCCGAAGAAGAACTGAGGTTTCAAATCCTACATAAGAAATAAAAGGTTCCCAAACTTTATAGAAGTTATTTTCTTTATCGTGCAGTTTGCTCGTCAAATAGTCCAAAGATATATAGTCCAGTACTATATTTAGCCATTGTGATTTACTTGGTGCCTTGTCAGAAATCCAATTCAGTACCACACATTTTCTTGCACAAAAAGTAAGCATTCTGTAGAGTTGACGCTGATGTTTACCAATAATACCGGTGTCGGTTAAACCAAGTAGTAAATACAATGGGTTGAATTGTGTGCCCATAGAGAAAATCTTATCTAATTCACATTTTATTATATGCCAAAAATGTTGAATTTCCCTGCAGGACCAGTAACAATGTGTGAGACTACCAATATCCACTCTACATTACAAACACAATGGTGAGAGGCTTGTTTTGAATTTACTTCGCTGAGAAGGAGAAATGTGCGCACGGTGTAAAATTTTAAATTGTATGGCCTTAACCCAATTGCAAATACTTAAAGACTTTGCATTCTTCCAGGCCTCATCCCATCCCTCCTGATTTATTGTACACTGCAATTCCCTTTCCCAAACTTCTTTTAGGTGAAATGTATTTGCTAAGGGGTGCTCTTTCAGCAAGTTGTAAGTTTTTACCCTGGAGGAAAAAAGCTGTTTTTCACACACTGAGATTGTTTGGTCCACATCGAGTGTGGTTTTTTTCTGAATGAAATCTCTAATTTGTAAATAGCGAAAGAAATCCTGCCTCCCAATATCATATTTATCCAATAGTTGNAATGTTACAGAGAAAAAAGGTTTATTTGGATGGTTAAAAATAGAATAGGAGTTTTTTTTTTCAGTGAGGAATTATCTGTCAGTTTTCTTTCTCAGTGCTGCTTTAACAATATTGTCTGCTCTGTGGCTGATAGTCCGCTAATATTTAACTCTGTGTTCACATTATATGAAATCGATGTCATGAATTGTTTACTTTAAAATAAGTTGGTGTCTAAAATCAGTCTTTCTTTCTTTTTTTTTCTTTCTTTTACCGTTTGCTATCTGTAAAGAGCACATGATATACTACTGAACCTCTTCAATATGGGTTTTTAAATACAAGGGGGATTATCGTTACTGTCGATTTACCTTATTTAGATCATATTATGCCCATACTTTTACTCACCAGCTCTTTTTTACCTTCCAAAGTTTCATCAAGCTTTAAGTTGGCTGAAACCTGCAGAAAATAGGAAAAATATAACATCTTAAAACATCTTAAAACAGCCTGAGCTGAGAGAGGCGGCTCTTTAGGTGCTGTGCTCATCAGCGCCTGGTGTTCTGCAGATCTTCTATCACAGCTCACCATCATGGCCTCCCTGGGAGTGAGATGTGGCAGCAGTATGTCCTCCTGCATGATGTAGCAGGACATTTTCCTGAAAGTCCTCAGGTCCCTGGGTTTCCCATTTACCAGGATCTGACCCTTCATCCCTGTTTCCCTGAGCACCATAAATGACATCACCCATTAGAAACAGGATGCACAAACTGAACATACAATATGCTACTAAACATGAGGTCGCTTACACAGAACTGCACGGCCTCCTCTGACAGGACCAAGACGATGCTAGAAAAAAGCCAAACTGGCACCATGTTACTGCTTTCCTCTTATATGCCATAGTAAACATGGCGTATAAGAGGTTCATCCTAAACATGCTGAGGGGGAAGGAATGATAGCAAGGGAATATGTTTTTTTTTGGTAGCAACTTCAGGAATGCCCTTCCACTAAGGACCATTTTTCCAAAGTTGCTGTGATCCAATTGGATTGTGATAGTTTGTAGAGAACTTGACATAGTCTTAATCCTGTTTGAGGGGTATTTTCTACAACTTAAACATTTCTCCTCCTACCTGTATCCAGCCAAAATGTTCATTAACGTGGATTTCCCGGCTCCAGAAGGGCCCATGATTCCTATCAGCTCTCTACTGCAGAACTTTCCAGAGAGGGACTTTAACAAAGCTTTAAAACCTGGAGAAATCAGAGCAAGCCATTAAGACAAAAAAAAAAAACTAGCAAAGCCACCTGAATCTAGAGACAATAATAAAGGAGAGCAAAGACGTTTTTGGGTCTTAATCATTCAATTCAATTCTATTTAGTTTATTTCTATAGCGCCAATTCACAACACATCATCTCAAGGCACTTNGGTGTTCATTAGATCTGTAGTGTCAATAGAGATCTGAGATTTGTAGAGATTCTCATAAAATTCTTTGAAGGTGTTGTTAATATCATTTGAGTCTAAGAGTTGTTTGCCATTCCTGTCGTTAATGAATGCTATATTTTGAGAATCTGATTTCTTTTTGATCAGGTATGACAAATATTTCCCAGACCTGTCACCGTGTTCATATAGTTTTTGTTTTGCAAATCTTATTTTTTTCTCTGCTTCGTTTGTTAGCAGGCAATTTAGCGCTGAGCGGAGAGTCTGGATTTCTTTGAGTTTCTCCGTGGAGGGTCTAACTTGATAGCCCTGCTCAGCCTTCTTCAATTTGGCTTCCAAAATTAATCTTTGTTCTGCTTGCCTGCGTCTTTTACCATTTGTAAAAGTAGTAATGAGGCCCCTGCAATAAGCTTTGGAGGTCTCCCACAGTAATGATGGATCGTCGGTGGATGCTGCATTAACTGAGAGAAAATGTTTAAATTCCTCTGCGAAATAAGTTTAAAATTTTCCATCATACAAAATAGAGGAGTCAAAGTGCCACCGTCTTGATCGACTGGCCACAGTTCCCATGTTACATTTAATGTATACAGGGGCATGGTCTGATATTATTATGTTGCCGATTGAGCTAGAAATGACTGAAGGTAGGAACTGTGCCGGGGTTCTTTTGACTTTTGATGGTGACATAAGGCGAAGAGCTGCAGATTTTTATGCTGAACTGTATAGCAAAGATGAAGAGAAGTTTGAACATTTCTGCAGTGGACTGTTCCATTGTTTAATATTTTCCTAAAATGTGGAGTTGTGTGGTCTATAGTGGTTTTTATTTTAGTACTAAAACAAATGCTAATAAGTGGAAATTGTTACATTTTTTTGGTAGGTCAGGCAAACTGTTCCATTTATATTAGCAGAAGAATAATTTTCAGGGCTCCAGTCTGTTTGTCTGTTTTTGTGTTTGTCTCCCTTCCACCACCAGGAGGCGCCTGGTTCTGGTCCGCCTCCTCACACACCTGCTGATCAGAGGCGCACCTTGTCAACAGGCAAACCAAGCAACTGCTTGGAGCCCCGAGCCGCTGGGGGGCCCCCGAGAGCCAGCTACTGTACACCCGGTAGATAAACAGCAACAGGCGAGCATGAAGTGGCAACGCTATAGTGACTGAGGAGATGCACAACTGCATATAAAATTCCGATTGGATGGAATATTGATTGACATTGGCTTTGGCCAGTCAAAATCCAGCCCAGCCCAGCCCAGC